TTCCGAGCGCTGCTATAGACAGTTAAAGATGTATAAAATGAAATCGTTAGGAATCATTCACCGAACTTAGGAACGACTGCTCCAGCAATAATTTGATGCGCGCGTTGTAGGATAAGTCAGTATAGTGGATAAGATAAGACGAAAAAATTAAAAAAAATTTTAATTACAATTGAAATAATATTTATTAATATGTAATATACAATTGTTACAACTCCGCAAAGACCTGAGTCACCAGTTCACAATCAATTAAGGTATATTAAGCTATCTAAGCCAAAACATCAGAACGCAAAAAACTTAATACTTATTAATTTGCTAATTTTTTGCGATTTTTTGCTACAAAAAATAATTTTTTTGCTATAACCATTTAGAAGTTACGAGTGGCTAGATAGTTTAATATTAAGCTATCTAGCCATTGTAGCAAAAAAATTATATATAAGTCAAAGCAAAAAATCATTAATACACAAATTATTTGCTATTTTTTTGCTACTATTTATTTGCAAATTTAATTTTTTTACTCCAACTTTTAAGAAAATACTAAGAATGAAATGTGTCCCACAGGAACAAAATGCATTAAAGCAATTAGTTACTTGCATAATTGTTGCATCAAAATGTTTTCTGAATTATTTGCTCTCAAAATATCGAGGTTTCGAATTTTTTGCTCGCGAAATCAGTTTGAACAATTAATATTTAAGTGCATCGCTCAAGAGTAAACTGCAAAAAATTCAAAGCCTAGATATTTTGAGAGTAAATAATTCAGAAAACATTTTGATGCAACAATTATGCAAGTAACTAATTGCTTTAATGCATTTTGTTCCTGTGGGACACATTTCATTCTTAGTATCTTCTTAAAAGTTAGAGCAAAAAAATTAAATTTGCAAATAAATAGTAGCAAAAAAATAGCAAATAAATTGTGTATTAATGATTTTTTGCTTTGACTTATGTATAATTTTTTTGCTACAATGGCTAGATAGCTTAATATTAAGCAATACAAGACAGCGTCGAGTTGTCATAAATCATAAAGGTTCTAGATGATTATGTCTATCTCATTTTTCGGTTCTAGTGAAACTAACTCGAACTTGAATTATCGTAAACACCCTGTGTCTCTTGGTGGAAAACTACCTATATATTTAGTTTCACACACACACTTTCAGTCAGTAATAAGATTGCCAAGAGAAAAATGACACGTTGTTTCGTAATTTTTATCGCAATTTTAAGGTTTTTATTTGACTCTTCCTAGTATGTATATCCTAGTATATCAGTTTCCAACTGGTGGTTGCGTGGATAAAAATCTTGTACAATAAATATTCTATGTAAAAAATTATTCCCACAAATATCTTTCAAATCGCGCGCAAAAAAATTATGAAACAAAAAACCAACAGATGGCTAAAGCATTGATATCTCTTTCTCGTAAGTAAACATGATCAAGAAACTACATAAATAGTGTACAGCGTAAAGGAACTGCTTAGACCAGCGCTCGGAATTAGTTGCACATTTCGGGCCGATTTCCGAGACGACGCCTCCTGTTCCCCCACTACCGCTCGGCCGCTGGCGGCCGAGCCGCCGATAGCTCTGGCGCAGGAGCGTTTTATATAAGAAATAGGCTGGGTTGTTGAGGCACCTCTCAGAAAATAGTAATATTTTCTTTGCTACATAAATAATGTTTATTTTCATTAATAATTAAATATATATATATATTATGTATTAATAAAAATAAACATTATTTATGTAGTGAAGAAAATGTTACGATTTCCCGAAAGATGCCTAAACAATCCAGCCCTATTTCTAATATAAAACGCTCCTGAGCCAGAGCTATCGGCGGCTCGGCCGCCAGCGGCCGAGCGGTAGTGGGGGAGCAGGAGGCGTTGTCTCGGAAATCGGCCCGAAATGTGCAACTAATTCCGAGCGCTGGCTTAGACCAAAGATCGATACCAAAGATTCGTTAAGTCTTTAAATTTTAGGAGTACCTTCTATTGTATGACTCAAGTTTGACTCGTACAATGCAAGGTACACGCAAGTTAATGCAAAGTTAATATATATTTAGAATCCAGATAACTAAAACCCGCGGCACACGGTACTATTTTCTCTGCTGGATTGCTAACTAGATGTGCGTACTTGTTATCGTGTGGGCAGCAGTGCTGGCAGTACTACTGGCCATATTGTTGGCTTGGCTTCAGACGATGTGGGCTTCCGTACTGGCTAAGCAAACTGAAGTAAACATGAAGCAGGCCATTAATCTAACCTAACTAATGAGGTTGTGTCGTGATTGACTCTTGCAATGAGCCAGCACAGAACCACGCAAGAAAAACAGCACCTGTTCTATCATGAAAAGCTTCTCTGTTTGTATGTTTTTAGAGCCTTATTTCATGCTGTTTTGTATAAATCTCAATTACTTCGGTGACAACTGGAGATCCAGGTCCGAGTGGAAGTCATCAATTCGTGACTTCACATTTGTGACTTTACTTCCAAATATTTTTATTAATGACGAATTGAAACCACAATCTTTCTACTAAACAGATTTGTAACGTTAGCACTGAAGATGGCTGAATGATCAGCTAAAACGTTTGACATCGACGATGCCCTAACAATATTCGTTACTATGGATACTGATTCTTCTATCAAACATCGATAACAGATGTCTAATAGACATTTATGATAGATTTATATCGTCATTTATCATGGAAATAATATGGATTTCTAATAGAAACCTATCTAATATCCATCGTAGAGATAAATATAGTATGGAGTTATGGAGATTATATAGACGTCCATTAGATATTATGTTCTGTATGGGTTGTATATCTATATATTTTTCTTACATTACCTATATCCTCTCATCAGAATATTCCATGAAAATACGCAGAATATTCTTTGAAAATTCATTTAATATCCAGAGAATGTCCTTATAATATTTACGGAATATAATTAAACTATTATGTGAAGTGATTAGAATATTCATACAATATTTTATAGCATATTCGTAGGACGTTCACAGAACGTGACTTTTTGTCTACTTCTAATGTTCCACTGGAAGTTCACAGAAACACCAATCATAATGTAAGAATATTCTAGGAATATTCAAACATTCTCTAATATTATTCTATGAATGTTTATAGAACGTACTTGTGCTGTCTGGGTCGTATTACTTATTTAAACAGAAATTTAAGATTGTAATATACGTACCCTCTTCAAAAAAAAGACATCGGAAAACATAGAAAATTTTTCTAAGTTATCTGGATTTTCTAAATATATATTAACTTTGTATTAACTTGCGAGTGCCTTGTATAAAGGCACTCTTCAAAAATTAATTTTTCGTCTGTTTGCTTTAGTTTAAATCTTTGGCTTAAATCTTTGGTTTAAATCTTTGGCTTAAATCTTTGGTTTAAATCTGTCTTTAAACAAAGCCTTATAAACTGTTTCCAGACGATAAATCAGGTACAATGAACGAGGTTAGCGTTTTTTTTCGCGTCTTTATGTAGTTTCTTGATCATATTTACTTACGAGAAAGAGATATCAATGCTTTAGCCATCTGTTGGTTTTTTGTTTCATAATTTTTTTGCGCGCGATTTAAAAGATAATTGTAGGAATAATTTTTTACATTGAATATTTATTGTACAAGATTTTTATCCACGCAACTAGTTGGAAACTGATATACTAGGAAGAGTCAAATAAAAACCTTAAAATTGCGATAAAAATTACGAAACAACATGCTATTTTTCTCTTGGCAATCTTGTTACTGACTGAAAGTGTGTGTGTGAAACTAAATATATATATATAGTGAGTGTGTGTGTTCAGCTGATGAGTCGATGAATCGATCGATACCGATTGAAGGTGTTAGACCGCACAGTTGTTCCAAATCTGCCCTGACTACTGATGTTTACAAACAAACCTACATCATAGAGACGCGTCATCAAGAAAATATAAACAAATCTATTTTTTATTTAACATAAAAACAGCCTTTCTTCTGTCAAAAGCCGATCGATAATATATATCGATAATATATATCGAAGCTTTGTTTAGACCGGATCTACAATAGGTGTAGTAAGCTTTAGGCCGTAAGAAATTGTCCATTCACAAACGAATGTGTAAAGAATAATTGACTATGATTGGTCAATATCTTATGGCTTAAAGCTTACTACACCTATTGTAGATCCGGCCTTAAAGATGCCTTTTCACGCTGATGCTCGACGCTCAATTTCAGCGTTAGAATACATCACGTGACTAAAAATAACCAACCGTTGCAGTAGTTTTTGGTCGAATAATGTTTTCTAATGTTAAAATTGAGCGTTGAGCGTCAACGTGAAAAGACACCCTAACCCAGCGAGAAATGACTCTTCAAATGTCGATATCAATACGATGCAATATCGATGATTTTGTGTTGTTGTGTGTGTGTTGTCCTGTGAACAGTGTTGCCGTTTCTATTACAATTGTATTTTTTTATTACATTTTAACCTATTTTAGTACGTCATTACAGAACACCTTATATCTATTACATTTTCAAGAATTTGTTACAATTTGTTACATGTGTTTCACTTGGCAGTTAATATGAAACACTGATGGCTCCTGCATACAGGACGCAATAAGGGCGACACGGTAACCAATCAATTTTTCGCTCTTATGGAAAAATAAATTGATTGGCTATCGCGTCGTCTTTTGCAGTGCGGTAAGCGTTATTGTTCTATGTGCAAGAGCCATGATCTATGGTCTACCTTCTACAACATCTATGATAGTAAGTTATCACGGACTAAGGAATAGAGGGACCATTGAGTTCTATAACATACTGGAGCGAGTCTTCCTATCCCGAACAAAAAAAACTGCGTCCGCGATTTAGAAAAGGACACATATAGCAATGTGAGGATTTCTGTCTCTTTTTACGTTATGCTGAAAACATACGCTGGACAAGGAAGACTAGCCTCACGTAAATCTATTAGCGTTTTCGAGTAAACGGGGTTTGAACGACCCAAGATTGGTTAATGACGTCATTGCAACCTCTCCACCAATGAAAGACTTGCATTTATAGTAAAATAGTGATTGATCAACCCTAGATCGTTCAAACCCCGTTTATTCAAAAACGCTATATCTGTCTTTTTCGACCGATGGAGACACCCCCACTCCTGAAAGGCTCGCTCCAGTATGTTATAGAACTCAATGAGAGGGACCGAGTCTAAAGTCCTAGTTTAGGCGAGAGGGGATGGTAATTCAAGCGTGCGGGGGAGGCTGCTTTCCGCCATATTGATGTAGCGATTTTCAACAGAGATTCTGTGTCTGTGACATGGTTACACTCGTGTAGTGGTGTCACTAGACATAACGAGTGACAAGCGTAAAGAGGTTAGGCGGTTTTATTATTGTTGTACTATAAATTTTATAAAATACTTTAACTTTTATTACTCTGAGGCTCTGCATACAGTAGACAAAATATTAGAAATAGCAATAAACATTTAATATTAAAAAGAGAAATTATTTTACATCTAACAAGAGAATAAAATATATTAATTAGTTCTAATTCTTATTTCTTAATTCATGTACGCAAATAGTGAGTTCTATGTGTGGTGATTACTAAACGAATATGGCGGCCCCTCCCCCCCCCCCCGCCGCAAACGTGCTCCCCCGGTACAGCTTGTGCTCCGTCCCTCTATTCCTTAGGGCGGTATTCATAGTCCGTTCTTATATTCAAGATCGTCTTAAGCACGAACTTATATTCGCTCTCTTCGTCAGACACAATCTATGTGTGACGAAGAGAGCGAATATAAGTCCGTGCTTAAGACAATCTTAAATATAAGAACGGACTATGAATACCGGCCTTAGTCCGTGTAAGTTATGAACATGAAGTGAAAAGTGAAAATAAATGTATG